TTGAGGGTTTAGGGTTTAGGGTGGACCAGCCTTTGATGAGGACGCTTCGTTGGCTGCTGCAAACTATTTCTCGACGACGACACGGACTACGACCATGCTAACGCTGGAGATCTTGACGCCTTTGTGCCATGGACTTGAGAAGATTAGAGCCTAAGGCTGTGGTAACAACACAAACCGCACAAATATATACAAGCCTGGACAATTAATGTGTTGATGCTGCTTTTGCTCGTATATAGCTATTAGAGTGGACCCCAGAACCCGACTTTAACCATGGCCTCTAGATCTAGCTTCCAAACCCAGACAAGATCCATCTTGTTGTTTACGGTAAGGGGTTAGCGCGCATTGACGTAGACTATATCACCCTTGGCTTGTCATGTACATCGGTAGTTCTACTGTTGTCTGACTGACACACATGCGCATGCAGATTTCATGATTGCAACCGTTTGCGTCGCAGCATAGGCCGACCATGGAGTTGAATTCACATGGTTCAGAAGTCAGAACTATTGATTTTCGAGAAATCAAGCTGCAGCATATGATCATTCGTATTCACGACATGTCGACATGTCCGTAGCACGGATCTGCATTTGCAAAGCCTCTACACTTGAATTTGCATGTCTTAAGCGCCCAAAAATCCTAAAATACACATGTCCTTCTCCATTTTACATGCCGCAAACTTCTTGACTCTCACCCCTCCAACAACTTTATTACAAATACTTAGCATCATGCTGCAATTGCTTCGGCTGCTGATCATTGCCGCGCAAGTGTCTACAGTGGGCAGCGGGCTGTGCATTGACCAGCCATCGGTGCAGTGGCTGCTATGTCTCTTAGACGACAGTGGCAGCGAGACACCTGCCAGCAACATGCACTCGATGTGTCTTTCCGTGTACAGTGTTCATGGATTATGACCACATACGATCACGGGGGTATAGTTCTCGATGTGGGAGTCTGGTGTCAGGCACTTTCATTTCAAACTAGTTCGGCGATTCCGCACGGCATGATGTCATATGCGGACACGTGCTCATGTTCATTCTGCGTGGTGTCTGGGTAGCTCAAAATTACGGAATGTTTGGGGCAGCGTCCTGCATGTCCAGCCGCCCCGCGAACATCACAATATGCTGACCAAGGACGTGCACAGAGAATGCACGGAGTGAACGCAAACGGCGTGTGACTTGGTTCTTCCGCTCGCAGGAGGCGGCCCGATTCAGGATTTCTGAGGGCCTGTATGACATCGGCATTGTGCCTATTTTCCTCGCGAGAAATCTCGATGTTCACCTCAGTACTGATGAGTGGAACGACGTGCTAGCACATGCCCGGATAGCTGTTCGAAGCCGTACGGAGTTGTTTCCATCGGCGAATTCGGCTGAATCTGCGGAGTATGTTGTGGACGTTGAGGGTGCGGCCCAGCGACATAGGATATCTCAGCTGGAGTCGCAACTGGCAGCACTACGAAAGGTTGCTTGTCTTACGTAGGAACATGTACTAGTTCTTGTTTTTAAGCATCGTTGGCCCGTCATGGGGCCACTAGGTCATTGGACGTTTGATGCATGATTTCCGTGCGATGCCAACTCATTTATAGGTCCATCGGCAGACTTTGAAGACTTCTCGGCAAAAGGACGTCCGGATAACCCGCCTCAAAGCAACGTCTGCACATCATCTCAAGGAGAAGAAGTTGCACGCCAAGAGACTCAGTCGAATTGCGGAGAAAGTTCAACAAATGCAGTCCCATCGGAGTAAACGACGGGTAGACGATGGCGACGATTTTCTTCGGCTGGAGCGAAGCAAAAAAGGCAAACAGCTGTCTCTCAGAGGCAAGCTGTCCCTAGCAATTCGGAGGAACTTTTCCAATTGCGCAACGGCAGACATAGGAGCCATCCTGCTGGAAGACATCTCAAGATACTCTGTCAGTCGTTATGAATCCCGTGCCGGCACGGCGCTAGTTGCCAGCAGCCGCCTGTTTTACTCGTCTTTGTACGACGACCTAACATCACCATCAGACGCCATGCAGCACTTCCAGCTAGTCTTCCATTCCTATCGACAGGATGCCACAAACTCAGGCATCTTACGCGGCAGCAAGCTCGCGGCACTGATCCTGCACAGCGCCACCTTGAAGAAGGCGGTAACCCACGACGCCAAGTGGGGTGACACATCCTTTGCTTTCGATGATTGGTACGAGCCAATGATCCGTGTGGCGGACGTCCTTCCGGTAGAGAGGAGCACCTCGAGCGACACAGTTGCGCAAACTTTGAAGCAGCTGGATGGCCTGGGTTGCATCACATGGAAGACAGTGGAACAGGACGACAAGTTACAGAGGTTTCACGGCTGTTAAGATCTGTCTGACGGCTTACAGGCTTACGTGCTGGCTTACTGTTCAGTTTTGTATTTCGCAGTCATTGAGTCATTTCCAGCGTTGCCCATTGCATAAAGACTAAAGCCAAAAGTCATGTTGTCACGCCACGTGGACATGAGTCATGAGTCGGGACATGTGTCAGGAGTCAGGAGTCATGAGTCATGAGTGACATGACATGACGGACTCCATGTCCATCATGTCCATGTCTCATGGTCGACATGAGCCGCATGGGCATGGACCGCATGGATTTCATGAATATGCTTGACGCGATGGTTTTGCATTACACTCATATATAGGCCGCATGTGAGCCTGCATGAATGAGCTGCATGAACGTGAACATGCAGCATGGCAGCATGAGCCGCTTCTTGTCCCATGTTTGAAATCCAGGCACCATCGCATCTTTAAGCCGCCGTTTGCGTGACTGTGACTGTGATATCTACTTCGATTCTTCGAATGCTTAGAATCCTAGCGACTAGCGATGCTGCACGGCTTCGTGGCGAAGAGACGAGGCATAATAGGTAACGGCCAACGTCAATGACCACACTTGCCCTTGAAGACTTGAAACTTGAAAGGTCCGATGTGTTACACTGGTACCTGGCCACCACTGACGGTGGATCCAACGAGGCTGGCGCCAGACGCATCATACACACGGATGTGCTCGAACTGAAGAACGTTCTATATATGGACACCACCTGTCTTGAACACTCGCATCACTTGGTGTCTCTGTCTGCGTTAAAAGCAGTTGACCGTGGCTTGGCCCAGCTGCGTGACTGGCGCTACTACGCGAGCCTAGCCACAACCTCGCACGTGTGCCGCGACGTGGCTCGACAGCTTTTTCAGACTTGGAGTCAAGATCACGGCTACCAGAGTGCTCGGAAACATGCGAAGACATTATGGCCAAAGGCTTGCTCTGGCAGATGGGGGGGGTGTGACAAACCAGAATCTCGATTCATCCAGACGAGTCAGTTGCTTCCCGGGACATTATTGAAGGTCCTCCAAAAGAAAACAGATGGTGAGAAGACTGCGCAGACTTCGGCGTCGGTCGACGAAGTGGCGATCGAGGAAACCAAGGCGCACATCTGTTCTGTTTGACATTGTGACATTGTGTCGCTTCAAGAGTCTATAAGTCAATAGTATTCGCGTCGAGTCGTCGTTGCATACAACGGTTACAACGGCGGTCCATTTGCCAGTGTTCTGGTGTGTCACTGACTGTCACTGATTTGATTTGATGTTTTGCAGTTTTGTGTTAGTGCCGAGGGCCGAATCAGCCGGACTCAATCGTTATTAAGTTATGCATTATGCATCATCACTGAATCATCACTGCCTCACCAGGCCTACACCGAGAAGTTTTCCAAATGGCGGAAGCGAACGGTGGAGTGCGTTCAAGACCCGCTGTGGTGGTTTTGCGTACGAATCATGAATGCCTGTCGCAATCCCGCATCTCATTTGTCTAATTTCTTGAAACAGGACCAAGGGGAATGGGGGCACGTCGCCCAGCTTGTTACTGGAAACGCCGCTTCGTTAAGTGATGAGTTCATGCAAACATGGTCACACATATCTGCCGCCGCGGATGACTGCCTGCACGAGTTGCCGCTGGCTGACCGACAATGTGCATTGGATTTGGCCATGGATGTGCTACTCCATAGTGCTTCTGGTTTGCATCGAAAGATCACGCGGCCATTGCTGAGAGACCCATATTTTCTGTTCTTCCTGGTCCTGGCACCTCCGCGATGCTTCTGCAACACGACTTTTAGCGTTAGCTGTTGGCTCACATGACACATGAAGCTCACATGCTGCTTCTAGATTACGTGCATAGGTTGCAACATTATCATGAGAATCATGAGCAGCATGCGACACGTTAATCGATTCATTTGAGTCATTTGAGTCATGAGTTCACCAGGCTATTCGCCAGGCCCATTGGCCCAGTGGCAGTCGAGTCATGAGTCATGGGGAGTTATGAGTCATGGTAGTCAAGAGTCAAGAATCCAGAGTTACTGGATACTTACTGATCGACTAGTCTGTCAGATTGCCACGGGAACGTAACGATAGTCTAACAACAGTGAGGTCACAGATACGTCACCATGACAGATCAAGTGCACAGGCACAGGTGCCACGTCATGTCATCATGTCCGTCACGTCAGTCACGTCACTCGTGGACTCGTGTTCATGATCATGTGACTCATGTGGACGACTCATGTGGCTCATGACGACGACCCAGAACCCAGAACTCCAGAATACATGGATGTAATACATGACCGGTTACATGACCGCTCGCACGCTGCACTCGCATGACTCCATGTCCGTGAGTCCATGAGTCCATGACTCCGGCTCAACAAAGGTCATGTCATGGGGCCATGGGGGTTGGAAGTGACCAGTGCATTTAATATGAATGAGGCACGAGCCACATGCTGGGTCACCAGCCGCATGTCGCTGCTACTGCAATAATTACCGCTTGTATTCGGCCCGTATTTTCTTCGCACCGTTCTCGTAGGGCAGCTCGACTCTTTGAGGAGCACGCACTTATATAACCTACTTAACTACTTAACCTCCAATAAACATACCAGGAGCGGTGAAACTTCTGATGTCTTGCTTCTTACAAAGGTTCAGTTTAACAGGCACTTGGCACTTACCCATCTGGTGTGAGTCTGATGTGGATGTCATGATGTCAGGCTCCCAATCAGTGTGACTGCAGGACGGCGTGATCTCCCATAGAAGGCGGACAACCCCAAGCAGGGCGCACGACGGAGTAACTCCGCCATGCGGCATCGGTCGGCATCGGTGCACTATTAGCCTATTAGCAGTCCCCACGTCCTTGGAGACGAGATCATACGCTTCCCAAGCTGATGTTTGAGTCGCGAAGATGTAGAGGCCACTGGTGATGTGAGGCGTGTGAACGGGGAATCGAAGTCCTTCAAACTCCGTTTAAATGGCCACATAGGTTTTCCCGTCCGTCATGTTGGCATTACCGCTTGAGGTGAAGGTACACTTTATGCACGCAGAAACCTCTGTTCTGTGCCCCCTGACACTGATGCATTCTTTGGGAACGCTCTTCGGTCGCACCCTCAGTCGGCTCTCAACGGCCTGTGCAGACGAGGGGACTATATGGCAACGGTTCGGTTTCCTCTGTCCGTCCGTGGCCTGCGTCGTGTTACACTGACTGTCGGGTTGAAGCAACAATGCAGCTATTGTTCTTGCCCGTTGTTTGCTGGGCTGGGCTGACAGCCGTGCCGCCTTGAGTCACCTTGACGTCAGACCCCAGGTGTCACCTTGCCTGCAGGCCGGCCACTGATGTTAGGGTTTGACGTTCGAGGTAAACAGCTGCGGCGTGCGGAAAGACTCAACCGTCAAACCCTCCTCTCAGGCTGGTGTGAAACTCATGAAGTCATGACAGACGTCTGTGTGCTACTCATGCCGACACATGCCTCATGATTTACTATCTACGTCTCCATGGTCGATGCACGTATGTCTGAATCATTGTTACAATCAATCATAGAATCATAGAGTAGATGTAATGAATATAAATATATCATAGAGTCTTAGAGCTAGAGCATTTCTCGTATGTTCTGGTTTTCCAAGTGCATCACGTGTGTAAGCAGCTGCTAGCGGCTACCGGCTACTGCCAGAGCTGAGCTTCAGGTGAACTTCGGCAAAAACACGCACGACGAATCCTCGACACCGAGGATAAGAAATTGCACATTGTCGTCCGCAAGCTGAAACAAATGGAGTTGATGCACAAGGACCTTGCGTTCGCCGCTTCAACTGGGTTCTGCTCTTGTCGCTTGTACGTGATGGTGTGCGGATTGGCCGTCATGGTTAAACCAGACGTACGTGAATCGGAGCGACTGAACAAGCAACTGAGTCTATTTGGCACAAGATGTCCAAGCGGAGGACTGGACCTGTGCTCAGGGCGACTGGCTATGCGACATTTCCTAGGACAAGGTGGCTACGGTCAGCCTGGGAAGCGTAGGTACAGTGACGTGAAGCCTGCAGCACAACTCCTCATGGATGCATGTTTGGAAGGGTGGCCCCTCATGCACGAGGTTGAAGGCAACGAGGAGCGTTTCGCGCCAACACGATCGCGGCCAGACTTGCCCTCTCTATCTGCCGCGAAGGCCAAGATGCACATGATCGCCCCTGACGACAATCCTCGCCCCACTGCTGCACGCATTTGGGCCGCCTCTATGAACAAGAAATTTCGTGAAGGACTGAGCTCCGACACAGACTCGACGACGGGCTTGATTGGCGTAGCTTTCCTGCTCCCGCCCAAACAGCTTGACGAGGCCCTGCATTTGTTTGTGTTGACCGACAAAACCCGAACAACTTGGCACATGGCTTGTTGTCACAGAGAAGAAGGGGCCGGTCGCTTCGTGTTGCAGAAGCCACTGTCTTTCGTACGCTCCCACGAAGTTCTCTCGCGATTCTACCAGCTGTCATCGCCGAAGAACCCCGTTGACATTGAAGCAGTGGAGGTGCGGATGCACGTTACTCAGGCAACGCGGCTGTAAGGCTGCAAAGGATTCATGTCCTTGTCATGTTATTGAATTCTCGGAATTCTTGTGTTGATTGGGCTGACATTGCATGTATATGTTGCCGGCACTGCCTGCACGACTCCATGCCTCATGCCCACGTCTTTCACGAACGTCGGTCTTCATTAGTCTTCATTACGAGATTCGGATTGTGACCGGAATGTGCATTGCTGCATTACACAGTATTGCTGTGTTGCCACTCCAGTTCGCCAATTCCTGCATCGATTCTGAATCGATGCAGCCACGCTGCTGCACCGCAGACTCGACTATGCACTGCACCGACCGAATAGTAGTAGATCGTGCTGAGCTGCGCTGGAAACTGCTGCTACGTCACAGCCACGGCCACGGTTTGTGGGGTTTTGCTTGTCTGTGGTTAGTGGTTTGTGTCACGTGTCTGTGTGAGTGGACTGACTGTCAGAGTGGACAGTCGGACAGTAGACAGTACACGATGTG